ATAAAAATGAAATATTATCGTATAAAAGCATAACTTTACTATAATACAATTTTTATCTCCGACTATAAACCAAAAAAGAATATTTTACAGAAAATAATCTTTAGAACTGATATATGTTACCTCATATTTTTTGAAAAATAATAATGAGGTAATATATGTCAGTCCCCCCTTACCTCTAGAATAAAATCGCCTTAATTTTCAATTTGCCGAATAAAGTTTGTTTGATCTTCATTCGACAACTCCTCCAACGACTTTCCTTTCGTCTCGGGTATGAAACACGTGAAAATAACTCCGAATATCATGAACACGGCACAGCCCAACAAGAGTTTATCAATAAATGCTGCATTTGCCGAGTATTCGGTGTTATCTGTAGTCGTTTTACCGCCAATATTCTTCAGTTTGTAAAAGGCGATTTGGGCAAAAATTGCGCCAAGTTTTCCAACTGCTGCGGATATTCCGTAACATGTCGACCGATATCTTGGTTTAAAACAATGATCAGATCGTTTTTGATTAGAAAGATTCTATGAATTTAAATTATTACCTCGTTGGAAAAACTTCACCGGGAACAACAAAGGTAGTTGTATTCGGCCCGAAATTAAAAAAGAACTATATAAATGGAAATAAGAAGATACATTCCAAGCGAAAAAAGTAAATAAATCGAAAAGACTTGCATAGTAGAGATAAATTACCTGCGTTAGAGTAAACATTGCACCAAACAAGAAAATCGAAGTATCTTTTATTTGATGAAACGCCGCTCCAAATACAATAAAAAGAACAGTTAACACCGCAAATCCCATAAATTGAATCCGTCTTCGACCCCATCGATCAATGAAATACACGCTAACCCAATATCCAGGTATTGTACCCAAAAGCGTAATAATTAAATTCCCAAGCGAGGCATGAAACAACGGAGTCCAAGCATCAAAGTTACCATCATGTTTATTAGTAATGATGCCTGGTAAACTTTTGTATTGTAACGCGTTACGAAAAAATATCGTGTTGTTTAATCCAATTCCATAGTACGCCACATCGATACAAAACCACGCGCCACAAGTGCCTAATAAGATTTTTGCATTTTTCCATTTGGAGAAATATTGTTTAAAATCTTCCCAAGAACTACGTGGTAGCTCTACACTATCTATTATATAGTCGTTTATGTGTCGTTTATTATTTAGGGCATTAATGATTGTGATTTTCACCCTAGAAATAGATTAACGTCAAATTACTGAATTTGGACTTTTCAGTACAACAAATATAGAAAAATCAGATAAATTTACGGAGTAGTCTGGAGGTAGTCAAATTCAGCTCCTTTAATCTCCCGTTCAACATCGATTCTGTATCGTGGTGTTTCTGGGATGGTGAGACGAAAATAAAGTGCAAAGATTCCTGGTATTGTACCCAATCCTAATATTATTCGCCAAACGTAATCTACACCGTCAAAATTTTTGTGTTCATATAGGTCATTTTTTGCCGCGCTGAGTGTTATCACTGCGACAAGAATTGATGCGAAAATCCCAAATCCTTGCATTGCAAATACGGCTGCCATCATTGACCCTCGTCTTTCTTTGGTTGCGAATTCGCTAGTGATGACTTTTTGTTTGATTAATTTTCAGATTTCACTGTATTTATTCTTTGGAATATATTCATTTATACTTACTAGCAGATAACGGGTAATCACCTCCCACACCAAGACCAAGTATAACTCGCCAAAAGATAATTAACCCGAACACATTCAAATATGGACCTGAACCACTTAAAGTCGTGAAAATAGTAGCAACTATTATTATCCATAATTCAACGCCATACATCTATATATATGAAAGTATTAACGTCAATATAAAAAATAAGTAGATGGAAATTTAATCAAATTATTTAGAATTACCCTCTTTCGTCCGATACGATCTGCAAGAATTCCAAAAACAATTTGTCCAACCAATGTACCAACTGCCGCGGAAACCTTTAACCAAAGTTCTATATTAACCGGGAGAATTCCATCATATATATATACATATCCCAACATCTCTGCTACCAAAGTAATGGCGAATAAATCATAAGCATCCGTAAAGAATCCGACACCTTCAGATTGAAAATGAGAAATAAATTTTTTGGTTTATAGTCGGAGATAAAAATTGTATTATAGTAAAGTTATGCTTTTATACGATAATATTTCATTTTTAT